TTTCGTGGCATTAATCCAATTTATAAAGAGTAAATTTATCACAAATGTATCAATTTAGAGTTTTTGGTAGTCAAAAAATTAGTTTAAGATAAATTTGTCACATGTATACTAGTTTGGCGATTTTTGGTGGTCAAAAAATTAGTTTGGGGTAAATTTGTCACATGTGTACCAATTTGGGGTTTTTCGTGGTATTAACCCTTTACAAAATGATCTCAAACGAAATTCTTTACTTTATCTTCAGCCCGTGTATATAATTGTTACTGTATTGGTATTGAAATCATTTAATTTGACATCATCTAATTCACTTATGATTGTTTTCATTTTGATCCATATAGAATTTCACAAAATTTAGACTTCAAGTTGAGGGTCATAGTGTAGGGTTCATCAACGGTAAAAACGCAGCGGAATATAGAACCCTAGACAGGATCCATGTGTATATTGAAATCAAAAAGGAAGTTCGATACGTACCTTTTGCAGATCGAACGTAAATTGACAATTGATTGTGTCTGGATTAGCGCCCCAAGTGTTGCGCCTCTACCGGTATCCACACACGCGAACAGAAATCTCCAACGATCCAAGTGCTAGCTAAAGATCTTGAAGTTCGTTTTCTTTAACGCCTTTTGATTTTCGATACTCTGTCGAAAAACCTTAGACAGAGAACGATTCTCTATCTATTTATACAGCCTCATTATCCAGCGGAGTTATAAAAGAAGTGGGCCGGGCGATTTGGGCCCGCCAAACCGTCCACTTTCAATCGTACGTTTAATCGTTATCTCATAACGTGTACGACCGCGTAGATAAGTTGAATAGGAGAATAAATTAAATCTACTTCTTATTTTAAGTAGATCCCGGCGCACAGAAAATATTAACTCAGTTCGCTTTTGTGTGCGACCTTGTAGGTTCACTAAACATTAGCAGTGTGCTCAAAACCCTTTTTGGCCCACAAGTCATAAGCGATCTCTAGCAAGACATTATGACTACCTAAGTATAGTAAAGGTTGGTTTTCCGACACAACCTAATCCACAACTAATATTAGAGTATCAACCTTGATTGATTCCTAGGGCAGACCACTAACACATAGTTCATTATAAACAGAAGGAGTTTCACATATAAGATAATTGAAGCTCCAATTGAATCAAATGCTTGATTTTACAATATCTAGAACGGCGCTTATATGTTCGGTCCGACTCTTGGAGAATTCAATTTTAGGAGAGTCGAGCCTAGTCCGACTCGAAGCTCAGCCCAACATGATCAGTCAACCACAGTTTCTAGACTTTGTTCGAATTTTTCTCTCAAAATCCTTCTTTGGTTTCACCATGGTGGATTCCCAATCTGTCCGTTGCTGCTTATGTATCACGTTGTCTTCGAAGAAAGTTTCTAACGGAATCGCCCGAACTGGAAATGGCTCGACCTCTGGTGCTACTATCTTTGTGGTTGTGCCTATTCCAACAAATTTTCGTTGTTCTTTTCCACTATTCACCCTTTTTACAATACACAATACATGTGTGTCACACATCTTGCAGCGGCTTGCTCATTCACCCGTTACCTAAACATTTTCCCTTTTAGCTCCACAGATCATACATGAATGACCCACTTTCTCTAGTCACATGAGAATGAGATGTCCCTCCGTGAGAGGGAAGTTGGGTAACGACAAGCTCGGGAACAATGCAAAATTGTGTGTTTTGTTCTTCATGCTTTTCGTTTTCGATCGGTCAGTCGATTGTGTGGGTTAACCAGGCCCATTAGAAGCCCAACAACATCAATAAAGCTAACCATCTGACAATCTTACCATCGATTATTAACCACCTCCGTTTGTTTGTTTCGCGAAAAATAGATGATTTAGATAATATTTTCCTAAAATTAATCACTTATATAGCTCACAAAAATGAAAGAATGAAATATTTTTCATCATTTTCGAAGATGTTTAGACGTAAATTATTGTCAATCATGAAACTATTTTTCAGTAATTAATTATTTCAATTGATACAAGTATCGTTTTCAGGAAAATGTATTTCAAATTATTTATTTTACGCAAAACAAACGGAGCCTAGGAAATGGAAATTTGCATATTGTCAAACCACATATATCTTGGATATTCCAAATCAATTGCCTAAAAGAAGGCCTCAAGATAGGTCTGGCTTTTAAGTAGTTTCCTCCAAGTAAATACTATCATTTTTAGGCTTAACAACCCAGATTGAATTGTGGAGTAACAGTTGCCACACCAAAATCATGGGATTCTCAATACACAATACAGTGCACAAGGAGGAGGATTCATGGTTGACAGATCACACACATTTGGAGATGCTTCTACTTTCGAGTAGTTACTTCAACACTTCTGCATGCACGAGAGGTAGATCAAATCCCACAAATTCGAGACTCGCCAATTGTATTTTTCCACAGAGAGCCTCTTTTCGACTAACCATTTTGATTCAAAAGAAACTACTAAGTTTGGAGCACAAGTTGAGGGCATGGTATGTGATTTCTAGGCATCTTCGTGACTGAGATCGATTGCAATCGTGCCTGAAGCAACAACATTCGCACTCTTTATAGCGGATTCCTATATTGAAACCTGCACTGTCGTTATCGCAAAATCCTCCATGGATAGCAACATCAATTTTGTGGCAAAAAAAAAAAAAAAACTAAAACTAGTACCATCCAAATCGTCAATGTCAATGTAAATGCCGTTGGTGTTCATGAAAATGATGTTGCTCTATCGATGGTGCAGGTTTTAATAAGGGATCAAGATGATCCACCATCGAGTGAGCCATTATAAGAGTGCAAGTATTGTTGTTTCAAGTACAATGGCGATCAGTGCTTCCTCACTTGCGATTACAATCTAAGCATGAAATGCAAAACAAAGTTCTCTACAACAGGACATTGAATAATATCAACCAGATGTGCTGGTTGTTGGTAGATGAAGCTTAGGATTCTATGTTCTTCAATGTCCCTCTGCCTGTTATGAATTGGATTGTTTTCTGTTTTCTTAAAGTTGTTCTTCCCCAACACATTGTCCTGCAATGTAATTTTTGGTGAAATCGCATCTCTTTATTATTAAAACTATAAATTTTGATGAAAATCCTGAAATATTGTTAGTTATAGAGATCCTCAATCGATGTAGTTGTATTGTAGTTCTCAATCTATTTGGCTCTTTTCCTTTTACAATAAGGAAAATTTGGTCACTGGAAATTGCTTCTTTGCTCATGGAAAATGCATCCTTGTATTTTTTAAAACAACATGCATTTATGTAAACAAAGGGTAATGTTCTATAGTCCTTATAGTGTTTCCCAATCTAAACTTCACCCATTGAATTACAATTTATTTCAATCTAGTCCTTACACCCTTTGACTTGAATCAATTTAGCAATTGTAGTCGATTTGATCTTACCCTTTGAATTACAATTGTAGTTCTCAATCTATTTGGTTCTTTTCCTCAATTTAGCATTTATGCACACGTTAGTGAATCCATAATCAAAATGCAAAGAAATAAAAATAAAATAGATTGGAGGGGAAGGGTGGAGAGCCACCCGCCTCCACAGGGACCTCGGCTAGGGCCAATGATGGAGACGGGCGCCACCCCCGATATCTCTTTCTCCCCCTCCCTGCCTCCTCTAGCTTTTCTTTTATATGAATTTTTAGATTTTGCTAGTATGGTCATTAACATGTATAATCACGCCAGTTAGATATGATTCCCATGGCTGAATTAGATTGTCACGACAGATGTAAACTGAACCAAATTAAGTAGAAGCATTAAATTGGTTCGATTCAAAGAGAACAAGAATCAAATTAAAGTTTAAGGATGAGATTGAGTATTGACATGTAGCACATGGACTATTTTTGACATTTCTCAATAATGATTTTCATGAAACTTTTGGATTAACACCATCAACCGGACCGATGACTGCTTTCTAAGTGCATCATCTAATCCAGTAATCCACCATTTATCCTTACTCGTTTCCTGCCTTATGCTGATAAACTCTTGCTTTTTGGTCTCCACAAAGAATGCATTGCTGAATACATCGGACAACATCGTGTTGTAATTGTTGTCCTTAATTTCTGATAAGAGAAAACATTTTCTCAAGGGAAACATTTCATGTAAAACAGCCACAACCTGAGGTATGCTTCCTGATAGAGATGGAAAATCATTTACCAGGTTAATGAGCTCATTCCTGTATATCATGTGGTGTTGGATTGACCTCATGTTTTCCACTTTGGGGTTTAGGTTATGTTGCTGTTTGTAATTTTCTTTGAGCTGATTGTTTTTCTTATCTTATTTGAAGATTTGGATATATTTCGGTTGTTGCTTCATACTTTTGCTACGTTAGTATGCATCCGTAATACATACCATGGCCCAAAAGTATGTAAACATCGCCTTGTGGTACTTCTAAAAATGTTGGAGAAATAGATTACATGACTGAAATTGCAGCATCATCACTTGAACGACTCGAGTTGGAAGCTGATGTTCTCATGTCCTTGGTTAATGGCGTGGTCATTTTGTCACAAAATTTTATGGATTTCATTTAAGAGTGCTTTCAGAAACGCTACACAAAACCAGTTAGACAATGTTTTTTGTTGGGAGTGCTTTTTTTTGCCCTACTATATTCCTTTTCTTTGGTGCAATGACATGCAATGTATACGCTTGCTAGTTCAGTTTCTTAATGCTAATTCAATATATATATCGAGCTGATTTTCAGCTTAGTTTCCTCTTAAATGCATGATTCTCTCGTTGACTCAAGCTCTAGCCCTTGGATTAGAAAATGTACGGAAATACTCACTCCAAGAGTGTGAAATTTGTTAAAGAATATGACAGTTAGATGTACATTCATTCAATGAACTTGTCCATTAAATGCAGTTCGAACTCTCAAGTTATATGAATCCTTCATGGGATTATCACCCACAAATTTAATAAGATCCTTTTCTTCAGAACCCAATCAATATATAAAAGAACTCATAGATGTGGAGAAGGAAGAACATTTAATGTAGTTCCATGAACAAGACCATCTCTTCTGTGATCACCTGCTTTATGATAAGCATGTGTTTGATGTAATTTAAGCTGTTATTTATTTGAAACAAAACGTATATTAGACATGACTAAGAAAAATATTGGTATGTAATCGACATGTTTCGAAATGGGTGCTGAACTTTGCACCCAGAGAAGAGGTTAGAAATTTTTATGTATAATGAATCCTGCACCGTGTCTTCGGCTAATCTGCATTAAAGAAATCCCGAGCTCACGGCCACGTCATAGAGGAAAAATAATCTTGTCCAGGCCAATGTCTTTTCCATTGTAGGCAATAGGAGCATACATCCACAGATCATCAGAGCTCAAGAGCTGGAAACAAAAGAAAAGGTCGAAAATATTAAGATTAGTCTAATGCAGAACATGCCTTATCTGTAATTCAAAATGATCATGAACAGTTATTGCGATTCATGTCTCAAGACTCTCCACGAACCTTAATTTGGAGCTGCAGAAACTTCACATAATGCACTGCTTCTTCAAGCATTGTACTGATGTCAACCTGCCACATCAAACACAATATTGTTGTTTTTGATTGGTACTAAATCATGCACTGCTTATTTGATTTTCCTTTATAAGTTTTTGTCAAAATGGACGGGAGATCTATCAGACTGAGCATGCTATGTACCTTGGTTCCATTAGGAATGAGGTTCTGCAAAATCTTCAGTCTTTCATTAATCCTCTCGCGCCTTTTCTGCAAAGGATTCAAAAAAGAAGAACATCATAACAATGACACCAACTAAAATTGGATCAAAGAGTACACTATTTACATTGAGGGGAAATATATTAAGAGGTTTATTTACCCTTGCATAGAGGCTCTGAGGATCAGTGGCAGCTCCTCTACCAGCTCTTGTTTTTACATCGGAGCTGAGAGATTCGGAGGCCTTTGAATCTTTGAGCTCCTGAGAAGAAACATCATCCTCAGAGCTGCAAGTACTAGAGCTCTGTCCTTCTTCCTTGACATTGCTCTCCTCATTGTCGTCATCGAGGGAAGTGAGCTTCTGATTCTTTTTCGATGGCATATTCTTCTTTAGGGTTTTCTGCACCTGCCATTTTTACGTGTCTTTTAGAAAATACTCACTGGACTCTCCCACTTAAATGTCCGTGTGTGAAATCTATGCAGCTTCGGAGTTGGTCTAAAGAACACCCGAAAATGTTGATGCGAAAAAAACTACATTTTGCTCCTTGGAAGATGCTTACTGTTTATGCATATATGACTGAGAAAAAAAACTCGATCCAGACAGCTTCCATAAGCATATTCACTTCTTTTTGAATCAAATCCACTATTTGGAAAAAACAAGAAAGAAAAGTATGATATAGATTCTAGATTCTTTTCGAGGAAGGTGGTTTTACCGTGTAATTTACTGCAAAGCAGAGAGTTTCTTTGTTTTTCTGAAGACGAGATGACTGACTTAGTATCATTATCAACTAAACAAGCTCTTCGATGTACTTACATCTGACAAGAGGCGTGGTTTTTTCTTTGGCTTCTCGGGCATTTCAACATCTGTCTTATCATTCCTTGAGGCTATCTTGCCTGATCTGGCAGGCTTTCTTTCCACTGGCAATGCCTCGACGGGAGCAGAAACTTCTTGAGGCTGAACATTGTCACCATCCTTGATTTCGGCCTCGCTGATCATGTTCTCTCTTAAGCACACAATCTCTTGATCTGTGACAAAGGAGTCATTGTTCCCTCCATTCGCACAAACATCCATGAACATAGAGACTTGATCGCTAGCGACTGACACATAATTAGAGCTGCTATAGTTCTCGAGGCTCGGAACGGGAACATTAAGAAAACTGTTGCTGCAAGCACTAGAAAAGCTGCTCTCTTGAGAGAAGCATTGCAGATTAAAAGAGTCAAGATCAGAGACTGAAGAACAATACAAACTCTCATGAACCCCTCCTATGTAGTCCATGCCCGATAAGGCTTTATCGGGATTGGCAACAAGAGTCGGCGGGATCTGAAAGTTCGGTCTATCTTCAAGAATGCTACTCCCAAAAGGGTACTGATCAGGCTCATCATTGGAGAACAAAATTCTCAGTAAGTCCAGTTCTCCATCAGCAAAGCCTCCCAAGCTCTCCATTGTCCTGACTTCTCTTTGCTTAACTGAGAAAAAACAAAAAATTCCTTAGGGGTGGAGAAGCCACTTGCTTGAGAACTGAGCAAAAGATGTCGAGACATATTTATACCCGTTTAGTCATTGCCCAACAAGGTACCCCACAAGGAATGGTATTGAGGGGTTGACTTCATTTGTATATTGCATTCTCTTGTTCATTTCTTGTTTAATGATTTAATTGGAATGCAAGGGATGGTCTTAATTCATGAAACTAACCCCCCTCATCAGGAGTCCACTGTGGGAACGATTACCAGGCAAAAGACAACTCAGAGATAGCCAAGTTCATGCAATTATGTAGTTAAAATAGTGGAGAAATTCAATGACTTTTCAGCCATCTTAGACTTGCAAGCATAGATTATAAATAATGAAAAAGGTCTACTGGCAATCATTAGGAGGTGACTAAGCAAAGCTGATAATGTTGATAATGCCTGGAAAAAGAGTATAGAATTCATTTAAAACTTACACGATTCAGTAGATGTTTGTGTCTTGAAGGAGCAGGCCCTTTTGAAAGAATTAGCAGAGTTGAAAGTATAAAATAAAATAAAACACGAATTGTGTACCAAAATAAAAAGGTTTCGGTTAAAATTATTTGTTACTCTTTTAGCGTGCAGCTGGTAGAGATTGGTCAAAAATCAATGTGCATCGAGTGAAACCCTAATGAACTAGCATTCGTAACCTGGCATACATATGAAGAGGACTCAAACTCTCGCTTGTATATGGGTGAGAAATGGCGACTGCAATCGATGAAACAAATGCACAGAATTTACACTGTCCAGACCATATGTAATCTACACCTACAAGTTACTTTACAAGGTTTCAACTTGGGTGTTTTCTTTCTTTTTTACTTGGATCGAGTCTTAAAATCGAGCCAAGACCCAAAATATGATGAAAAACGGGCGCATGTATATCCTTAAGACTAGAATTCTTTGGGGAAACTCACTAGATCAACATGAATATCGGTATTGGTGTATGCTTGTATAACCATTGAACTGTTAACTCCAGATTCAAAACAAATCACCACATGCTGCTATCATTAGTGCTGAGTAATGTCATCTTATCATGCAGAATTAGAGCGAAAGCACGCTGGGAGAGGAGACAAAACTGTGTATTGGAATTTTGAGAACGTGTGAGATAGTTGAATATAATAGTGAAGAGAGAGAGAGAGAGAGAGAGAGAGAGAGAGAGAGAGAGAGATTAAAGAAGAGGAGATTGAGGGACGGCAAGATCGTGTGAGTGAGTCGACATTCTATGAAGAGTACTTTAAGCCCGACAGAGAGAGCGAACAACTCGCTCAATGTCTTCCCAGGATGGCTTAATCTGACAGGTTCTGATCATATACAAGATCGATCCAACTCCTAAAACCAAGGCCTCCAAGGTTGAAGAAGATCTCTTCCTAGAGTAGAAGAATCATAATGAGCCACCCGTGTACAACATAACAACCTTACCTTATCATCCTGACAAGTTGGTATTGAACCCCACAATATAAAGGGCAGTTTTATCTCTTCCTCAAAAGAAAAACACTCAGCTTGTGCCATGTCGTATACGAAATGTGATGGATAAGTAAACAAAATAATTATTAGACTTGGAAGCCGGCAATGACTTTCAAATTCCTAGAAAGATATTTAATAAGAGCGCATCACATTGAATTGGGAATTCAAATTGGTATTGCTTAATGCATTACTCTAGAAAAGCATTCATGGAGTTCTGAACAACCTTCACAAGGAAGGTCATGCTAATCTTTCTAGTGTTATATCGATAATCACACGAGTCTCGGTAAAGATTAGGACAAAACCTCGTAAAAAATGGTGACTAATTAAGTATACAGAAATGCTTGTTTTCATAAGACCAGTCCTCTTAATTTTCATTAATGAAGAACCAATTCTATACCATGTTTCCACACATAAAGGGACATGAACTATTTGCTCTATTGATACATGACATGCGCATAAATTCTCAAGTCAACAACGTTGATGTTGGCAGAAAGGAAGGAGATTAATGAGCTAGGGTTACAATGTGTAACAATTTATAGAAGTGACATTAGAATTACCAAGAAAGGAGATTGACAGCAAGAAAGCTAAGGTTTAGAGAATGTTGAGAGAACAACTGAGTCAATTATATAATTAGAACACTTCTCAACAGAGTCCCAAGATCGATTGCGCGGCTTTAACTCGATCCTTTAGGATCATGCAGTGAAAGGAAGTAAACTTCTCATGAATTTGCTAATCTTGCTGATATATAGTAGTTTCCCCTTGATGAAGCTCCAGAAATGGGCTAAGTCCGTGACCAAAGCAGTTCATTTAGCTTACTGCAATAATGATGATGATGATGATGATGATGATGATAATAACACTATAGTAGTAGTAGTAATTAAATCGTGGAAGACACATGATTAAAAATGGTTGCAGTAGACTTTTATAGAAGAGAATGATGTCTACTGAGGGAATTTATTGATTCACTAATCTTATTAACATTACCTCATGTCTGGCGATACTTTTTGTTAAATCCCATTTTATGTACATACATTTTACTTTCTCTAACATTTTTGCAAGTAGGAATAAGACGATGTACCGTGTGTTTTATATGATCCATCGATAGATTTTCTTTAAAATCAAAGATTGTTCCCACAAAGTTTATTACATTGACATTTTGCTCAATATAAAAATCCCTTTGATTGATGACTCCAAATGCATGCACCTCGGATGAAGAGGCCATTGATACATATTCTTGGACCCCAACACAGCATCTTCGCTAAATCTTAAACCTAGCTGTGAAATCTCTCTCATTAAGATTAAACCATAGTTATAAGAACCCCACATTTAATCTCATCTCTATCTACCATTAATAATCTCTTCTCTCCCTCTCTCTCTCTCTCTCTCTCTCTCTCTCTCTCTCTCTCTCTCTCTCTCTCACGAACACGCACACTGCAAGTACGATATCTCAAGACAAATACTCCAAAACAAGTCTGCACAAACAACTGTCCCCTTCCTCTCCCCCAAGATTCCGGCGGTTTTCAAGCTCTTATCAGTTCCACGCGTCTAGTAGAGACCTCGTCGCCATTAATTTTTCTCGATTCTCTCTTTTTTGTAATAGTCCCGGTTCTTCTTGTGGAGGAACTTCGATGAGATCTTCTTTGCTTCGTTTGTTCTTGGAAACTGCACGCTAGAGGACCCACATTCGCATTCCCGTGTAATAAACGTGTAGTACCAACTTCAATGCTGTATGCCGACCAAAAAAAAAACTTCAATGCTGTATATAATGGATATAAATAATGCTCGAGGGAAGCAAGTATTGTATAAGTTACTTCTCCGGTCGAATCAATCATATTTCAAGAATAAGTGGGATTCATACTGGGTCTCACTTAAAAACATGAGACTCGTTACGATTTTCATGCTATGACTGATTTTGTTCATCACATTACTTTTAGACTAAGCTTATGCATGATCATTTTATTAGTTTTCATAACACTCCTATAAGAGAAACTGAGATTCATTTAGAAAAATTAGTCTAATAAATGATGTGAAATGCTCCTATTGAGTGGTTGAGTATGATCCACTCATTTGAAAACCCATATATTTGGTTTACCATATTATTTAGTAAATTTAATTTCATTAATCGGTCAAAATAGGTACATTATTCAATGAATAATTGTCAAAATCAAACTCAATGCCTTACGCATTAAATCATTTTTTCATGTATACGGAGGCACTTGTTAGACATAAATCCATAAAATTTGATTTATCGATATATTGATTAAACATAATATGGGAAAAGCCAATGTGTTGATTATAAAAGGTTCACGCAAATATAATGGGCACAATATGTTTATAACTGGTCACCCGCCTTGACGAGTTTCACATTATGTTGATCTACTTAACTATACATGTTCGAATATGTTCAAATGGATTAAGAGAGTATCCCATGTATCATATCTCTTAATGTAATCCCACGTTACTTATTTATGGGGTTTGCCTAGACTTTATACACATGTAGCTTCCTTCCACCTAATGATTTGAACTTTTGAATCATAATTTCTAATATGTTATCAGAGCCAAACATCAATTCTTTATGTGCCAATTGATATATATCTCATGCGTGCTTCTTATCTGTCTTATGCTTTATTCCACGAGTTATTCTTCACTTCATTGGCACGTAAAGGGTGTTTAATCCACATCACTAGGTTACTAGGTTCATCGAAGCCTTACATGCATGTAGTCTTTTTCCACCTAATAGCTTAAATTTTTGAGTTTGATTTTCTAACTATATTTATAGTGTGGTATGTGTAAATAGGTTGACCTAGTCGCAATTTTGAGTACACTTAATTGCATGTGGTATACATATGTGTGTAGCAACAGGTTGTGTCAATCAATGCCATTGAGCATGGTAGCTCAATAGTAAAGTGCTCGCATTGCCTTAACTGAGATCACAAGTTTGAGCTAAATTGTAAGCAAATCTTTGGCCAACTTGTGATTTAGGCATTTGCTACCTCCTGTGAACAGAATTGACTTTTCGCACATCAATGGGACTGCGTTGACAAGTTTCATACACATACAAATACTTGAACGGTTATAGCTCGAACATTCATAGTGGTAGTCACGTGATAAAGCGGTTACAATTTCTTTTATGAGGTCAAAAAATCGAGCTATATCATGAGCAAAGTTCCAACTAACTCGTGTTACCTCATATGAAGAGATTTCACGACTTTTCGAATTCCAATGGGACCGTAATGACAAGATAGTAACTAAAAGTAGTTGAGTAGTTGTAAGTCAAATGAAACATTTTATAACATCTGTAAAACTGTTACCATAACGTCCAAACACATAATTATGCTGATCACCCTAATCAATCAATAAAGAGAGGCTAATCATTCAGTGCCAACCCTATGAACCGTCCATTGCGCGAGCACGGCCTTTCGAACTGTAACTTTATTCAGGTGATGAGAAACTGGGGGTTTCTGATAAAAGATCACAGACAAGGCGAATAAAATCTAGAGAAGGCAATTCCAGAGAGTCGAGATAGACGAAATTTTAAAATCTGGACACAAAAAAAGAATCAGATTTTATTCCTCGCGGCCTG